TGTCTAAAACTAATGTGAAGGAAGATGAGTCTAAAGATGATGTAAAAGAAGATGAAGAAGGTTTTCTCCTAAATTATGATGATGTAGTTGTTTCCTACTATTTGAATAGTAGAGTGAAGAAGTTTTACAAAAATATGATGAATGGAAATTTCAAGAACAACTTGGAGAAGAAGCAGACGTCGAATGTTGGTGGAAGTCAGAAGGGCGTTTTAAAAGTTGAGAATAAAGAAGAAGAGAAGAAGTATGAGGTGAAACTGAAAGGTGATTCAGGGTATAACTACAATTATTGCAGTGGTCACAATCACTTCGCTAAAGATTGTATGTTGAGAAAGAAAGAAGAGAAGAAAGAGATGGTGAAGGATGAAGCTTATTATGCAAAAAAGCTTGAATATGTTCGTTCTCAAGCAAAGCATCTAATATTGTTTGCTAAAAGAGGTGTTGATAGCGATGGTACTTATTAGATACAATCTTCTGGAGCAGATAACAAAGAAATACGTCATCCTACATATGGAGTGTTATTCGAATAAACATGAAGATGGTGGATATAGGTAGAAGAGCTGGATTGAGAAATATGTGGAAGATAGTGGTGATGAGAGGATGTAGTATGCAAAAGGAGAGGAGAGTGATGAAGAAGGTATGGCAAAAACTGTGAAGTGCTTTGTTTCGACAACACCAAAATCTCTATTGACAGCTAAGGTGCGTGATCTTCTTGTTTCTATTAATATTCCATTAAATTCTTATCATGTTGTTTTTTGTGATTTTGATGAAACTCTCTTATTTGAATGACAGGCTGATTTCGATGAGTAGTGAAGCTGAAAAAACTATGGCATCTCTTTATGAAGCAAGAAATAGGTTGGAAGAGAACAACACTAAGATAGAGAGTTTAGAATTTAAGCTTACTAATATCATGTGTTATAGAGATGGTATTATAATGGATAATTGTATGTTGGTTAAACAACAAAACATCTATTGCAATACTTCTAAAAGATTGTGTGGTAAATTGATAGTTCTCTATCATTCTTATGATATATGTGTTGAACATAGGAAGCTACTATCTTTTATTACTTTCAAAAGAGAACTAGTTAACGAAACTACCTTCGACTGCGAAAGTAAAGTAGCTGACTATGCCACCATTCCTAATAATTCGTATGCTTATGGTGTTGTTAACATAAATGATTGTTTGAATGTTGATGAACTTGTTAACATCATAAATGAGACTTTGACCAAAAATGAAAAAATCAAAATTTTGAACAAGACTGAGAATTCGACACAAAATACTCAACAAAATTTTGCGGATATTGAATATGAATAAGACAATATTAGTGAAATCTAGGAAGATAAATGTGTTGATTGCTCATAATTGTCTTCATTAATGTCACTTCGTTAGCTAAAGGTAAAGTGAATGTCTATTCAACAAAGTTAAACGATGAGTCTTCTTTAACAACCAAAACTTGTGTTTCTCAATAAGAGAAGGTTATTTTTGAGGACATAACAAATAACGACGGTGACAATTATGATGATTCTTGTGAGAAGGCACTTGCACGAGTTGTTGAAGCTCAGGTGTATGAGGATACCGAGGAATTCAAAAAAATTCAAAGTGAAAATGGAAAACATTATTTAGAAATGAATACAGTTCTTTATCCAACATGCATTAAAGGTTTTCCGAACCAATTTTTTGCAACAAAAGGAAATACAGATAATTTGGATCCAAAAATAAATGAATTGTTGAAAGAAGTGAATGAAAGTGTGACAAATGAAGTTTTTTACTCAAATCAGAATATGGAAGAGAACAAGTTAAACAAAAGATCACATGTTTTTCAATGTCAAAAGAGTCAAAAATCTTTTTTAAAAGAAAATGAAAAGAAAAGAAATAAAGTTTGGGTTGTGAAAGTTTCTATGACTAATGGTGAAGGTGAAACTGAGGAAAATAGTGAGAAGTCTTTACCTAATGATTTTAGGAATCAAAAGGTGAAACCTCGATCTGTCGAAAAGGATGAAGAAAAATCCATTCCTCAAGAAACTATTTCCAAAAATAAAGCACGAAGGAAGGCTTATTGGAAGAACCAAAAAGAAATTCAAAAGGCAAAGTTTTTGAAATACAAAAAATCTCAAAATAATGAAATAAGCTTCTCAAACATCAAAAATTAATACTTCAAAAGAGTCTTTTCAAGATGGGTTGAGAAATGTCAACAAGAGTATTGTCAACAAAAGTGGTTTTTTTGCGAAAAGCAAAAAGTTGTTCAAAAAGCGAATGAGAAAAAGAATCCTAAAAGTCCCAATTTTGTTCAACAAAATGTTCAATAATGTTTTCTTCAAAGTTATGTTGAGAAAAATGTTTAACCGGCGAATGGTTTTTAAAATGATTAAATGAAACCAAAAAATTGTTTCTAGCACAATGGACAAACAAGTTTTTCACAAAATCAAAAGGTTTTTCAAAAAGATTCTCATTTTGGTTAACAATATCGATACCAAAATCATTTTCAACAACGACCACAAAAGCCATCATCTCAAATGAATTTTACATGAATAACAAATGTTGCAAATCCTGATTTGAAGCAAATGAATTTTACATGAATAACAAATGAATTTTACATGAATATCATTCTAACCTGATGGTCAAAAATTTCCAAATCCTGATTTGAAGCAAAAGTCGAATGTTTCTTTCATCAAAGGCCAAAATGAAATGATATTTTTTAATCAGTAGATTGAAGGGAAACGAACATAATTTCAGTCGAAAAAGTATTCTCAAGAAAAAGTCCAAAAGGCTTATGAGAATTACTTGATTGATTCAGTAAGTGGAAGTACTTCATCACAAGAGTCATTATCGAAACCTTTAAAATGGAAAGAAGTGAAAGCAAAGAACATTGATTTTTCTGAGAAAAGGGTTCAAAAAGTGAAAATCAAAGTTAACACTTCACCATTGAATGAAGACATTTCTGTGCCTAAAACTGACGAAGTTGACTTAACTGACAACATAGAATCGAAAGTTCATAATTGGATCTTTAGTTATACATTAATAATTTCATTCCATGCTAATGTCCATGGAACCAAAAGGTCTTAGGGACCTAAATCTATCTGAATGATTGTAGGTTTTATGTGACGAGAAATATGAAGAAAACTGGTATATCGATTGTGGGTGCTCGCGTCACATGACTGGAAGGAAGGAGAATTTAAGAGATTTTTGCAAGTTAGAGAATGTTGGAGTAGTAATGTTTGGGAATAATCAAAAGTGCAAGATTAAGGGATATGGGAAAGTTACAAATGGAAATTTCACAGTGCAAAGAGTCGCTTATGTCGAAGGGTTAAAGAATAACCTAGTAAGTGTATCTTAACTTGTGGTTGCAACTAGAAACCAAATGCTTTTCGATAAGGAAAGAGGTGTAATTTCATAAAAAGAAACAAAGGAAGTTCTGTTGAAGTCAAAGAGGAAGGTGATATGTTCACTTTCAATACAAAACCTATAGTGGGCATTTCTTCACTTTGCTTACTATGGAAGGCTTCATCTGAACTTAGCTGGCTTTTGGCATCGAATACTTTCTCATCTCAACTTTTACAATTTGAATAAACTTATTTTAAATGCTATTATTTGTGGATTGTCTGTTTTAAAGTTTGACAATGATTCGTTATTTGCAGCTTGTGAACATGGTAAACAATATCGTCAAGGTCATCCAATCACCATTGATTCAAAGATCGTTGAAACGTTGGAACTTCTTCACATTGACTTGTGTGGTCCTTTGAGTATTGAGCCTCTCAATAAGAAAAAGTACATACTTGTTATTGTCGATGATTTTGAGCAATTTACTTGGGTTTTATTTCTTAGACAGAAGTTGGAAACAACTCAAGTAATGATCGATTTATCAAAAATTTTGAAGTGAGTTTGAAGAAGAAAGTTCGTAAGATAAAGAGCGATAATGGATATGAGTTCAAGAATCGAATCCTAGATTTGTTTTTGACAAATTTGAGAAATCTCATAACTTTTTGTCTCCTTACACACCACAGCAAGACGGTATTGTCGAGAGGAGGAATCATTCATTGTGCGAAGTGGCGAGGATGATGCTCACATATGCGAATCTGCCTCAATATTTATGGGTAGAAGTAGTTTCGACAACTTGCTTTACGCAAAATCGGTCTTTCATACATCGTCGTTCCAACATCACAACTTGTGAAAGTATTAACAAACAAAAACCTAATGTGAAAATTTTCCATGTTTTTGGTTGCAGATGTTTCATAATGAATCTCAATGATAATCTTTCTAAATTTTAGACGAAAGCTGATGAGGGAATTAGATTGAGATATTCTCATAAATCTATCACATATAGGGTGTTAAACAAGAGAACACAAAAATTTGAAGAAACTTCAAACTCACATTTGATTATTACTATTTCAAAAGAGTAGAAAAAGGGGAGAAGGGATAAGAAATTTTTTCCAAGTGAGCAAAAGTTCGAAAGATGTAAAAAGGGGAGAAGGGATAAGAAAATCCAGTGAAGATGCAAAAGTTGTGGGAAAGGTTTTATCTTCGCAAATTCCAATTTCATTACCACTCAAGACCGATCCAATCAAAACAACCACAGTAACCACAAAACCGATAGCAAGACCTATTGTAAAAGGGATTGTTATTGGTTCATCAACTAAAGGAGGAAGTTCGAGTTCTTCAAAACTGAAGCATACAGATGATGGTAAAGGAAAGGGGGTGGCTATTGAAAAGTCTAACGAAGAGAAAAAGGCGGAAGTCGACAAAATACATTTTGAAAAGGCCATTGAAAACACGAGGAGTGAACTCATATCCATGTTACATGATTCAATGGTGGGAAGAAATCCGTATTCCTTCATACGACAAAATGTATATGTTGCATTCCTGAACTGCTTCATCTGTGCATGCATTTTGAAAAGGGCATCGAAAACACGAGGAGTGGAATCACACATTCGATAAGAGTGAAGAACAACATCGAAGAGCTTAGAATGGAGGTTTACATCACAAGAACAAGAACCGATGATCTTCTTTAAAATGGATTCAGTTGACACAAATTTACGATTCTTGGTGAGGATGTGGAGGATGATGGAATTGTTTCGAGGGTGAGTAAACTAGGGTTGTGAAGCTCAATCCTTTTGAAGAGTTTTAGGGAAATGACGTAGTCATTTTGAAGCTTTAACAGAATGTGCTTCACTCGTAATGAATTAGATTTAGTTAATATTTTATCTAGCTTAGCCCAATCAGAGTGAAGAAGATGACTGTGAGCTATGTTGATGTAATCAATATCTTGACCTTTGGGCTCAAGGATAGTTCTATAGGGTATTGGAATAGGACTCCATTTACTTCTAAGGAGAGTAGAATTAGGATTTTTCATGGCTGAATCAAGCAGAGTTGAAATGGGATTTTAATTTATGTATTTTTAATGAAAAAAAACGGAGAAATAAAATATATGAAATAATAATGATTTTGAACCTGCAAAACTTAAGCCAACCTCTTTACAAGCAATGGCTGTCATCATCATGTGGGACCCATCAAGAGAGTGGACAAAGTTAGGAGGAAATGATGTTCTTTGTCTTTTCACCATCACCTTTATAACAAAAAAAAAAAACAGTTATTTTTCTTGCATTTAGCTTAACAAAGAAAAGGTTGCAGATATAACCTTATCGGTTTCTCGTTGTAGTGTCAAAACTTGAAGAGATGTCGTAATCTACACATTTCAAAAAAAACAACAAAAAAGTTTTGGTTCATATTAGCAAAAAAGCCAAAATACAGGGACTTTACTTGACAATTTGACATACTAAAAGAACTCACAAGATGTCCTCCTAATTTGCGGTATGGTTGAACAACATGAAGTCTAAGAGGAGTTGTCCATTGTACTGGATTGTTTTTCACTGGTATAACCTGTCAAAATTTATAAAATCAATAAACGTCTTAATCTTATGTTATAAAAATATAAAATTTATACCTTTCCACAATCACCAAGCCAACTCATAATACTTCTTGTAGATTCAAACATTGCTAAAAGAAAAAACACCATTAAAGGCTTGACTTTCCTCCACCATTAAGCCATATATGAAACCTTAAAGGACTGTTTTGAAGACCTTTTGGAGGGTTCAAAACATGGTCTTTTTATAGAAAAACATCACACAAGAATCTATGAGAATTGGAGCAAAAGAAATCATGAACGAAGATACCAAAGAGAAAATAGAAAGACAATTATTCTACAATTCTAACTAATCCTTACTCACCAATTACCACATATATGAGAGTGTTCTTAACTATATTTTGACAGCCATCACCCATCAAAAACAAACAAAACGTGGCTGGGGATTAATCACATAACAAATCAAGGATTGGAAGTAAGAAGAATGAGATTGCTTGAATCCAATCACTAGCAATTGAAACATGAAATTATTTTCTATGTTAATAAAAATGATAGTCAGTTTTTCAAAAATCATATAAATTAATAGTAGTCATTATTGTGAATATCAATTTCTATATGTACATTATATTTATACTTCAATTTCAATTTATATAACGCTTTAAGTTTTTTTTATTCTTTAATATTAGTCATTTAGATAAAAACGCTAATAACCAATAGTTATTATTGTGCATTTGTATTAAGTTGTATGTTGAAATCAGTTGAATGAAAAGTCGATAACACATTACAAAAGAAAAAATTACCACTAACCAGCTAAGAAGATATATAAAGGATAGATAAAGAGTGTTTTGTATATAACAATTTATGTTTTAAATATTGGTATTTACGTTTTCAATATTTGTATTGCACAACTTAATAAAACATAAATAGTTTGTCTATAAGGAAAAGTTACCGTGTAAAGATCTCTACCCATCGATAGATATCATTTATTTTTATAAAGCTTAAATTGACTATTTTAATAAAATTAACAAAGGTGTTCCACAAAATATTTAACTTATTATTTTTTTTCTTTGACAAAAAAATAATTCAAAATGAGAAGTAATTAAGATGTTATATCTTTTATCTACTAATAAATTCTAATCTTATTATTTATTTATCACAATCAATCCAAACATCAACAAAGATTTCATTGATGTTTCAAAAAAAATATCAAAGATATTTAATATTTAATTTCTAAGCCAACATTTCCTCTAAATCAATAAAATAAAAGGTTAAATGGAAGTCCATCTACCCAAACAAAATAAAATACGTAATTTTATATAGTTAGAAACATTGATCAAATTAACTTACATTCAATTATTTAATTTCCTATGAACCAATTTGCATGAAAGATTACAAAATTGAAGTTACTAATTCTTTAACTATCAATATCCTCAACAGCTAAGAGCTCTCAAGTCTCAAATAATCAACTAATATAATTTTTAAACCTCCTCACCATAACACATATAAATAAAAGAACATATATGTGTTCAAAATAGGGTGTGATCTAAATAAAACAACACATATACTTTATACATCAAGATTATACAAGTAATAACTACCATTTTCGATAAAATTAATAATTTAATGTGAAATAAAACTAAAATTTGCAAAATATTATTATCTTTATTATATAGAGTACAAATCTATCAAGACCAAGAAAACTACAACCATGATTGCACAACCTTCACGACCCATTCCTCTTTCGTATCTAAAACATACGTAACCATAAATAGCATTGTACTTTGTGTATATGGTAGAATATAAACATAAACTTTTGAAAATAAAATAATAAAAAAGTCAATTGCTACTTACACAATCTTTATTTCTGCTACTTCAAAACTATTTATAGAGTTAAGCTTAGCAAGCTATATAGATTGGAGTAATTACTTTAAGCATCATGGCCACATAGTAGTTTATATACAAAGTTGATGTGTACATTAAGAAGTGAAACTTTTGCCTCTTAAAAATTCAAGAAAGAAGCAATATGCTTTATATAATTGTATAGATGTATAGATATAGATATAGATATAGATGTATATAAGTATAGATATTGATAGCACAAATATTAAAGCTTAATTCGAAATACATCAAAAACTTTTAAAGCTTTATTGAATATACATTATGAAGTATAACGCATTATTTGCTCCCACACACATTATGTATTCGGATTCGTTTTTGTCATGATTAAATAAATCAAGTTACACTTTTTCTTCAAGTTCTTTACCTTCATTGTTAGAGTCACAAATAATGCTTTTAACTTTCTCATAACGTTCATAACTGAAACACCCATTATCAACCTCGCTTAATAGATCCATAACCAACCTATCTTTCCAAGCTTTTGAAAACCCTGTACACAACCCACTCAAAACAACTAAATCAGGCCCAATAGGCCTCTCTAACATCTTTTTAAAAACACCAAAAGCACCATCATAATCATCCGTTTGCAAGAATGATAAAATCAACATCTTCACAGTATTAACATTTGGACGACAATTACTTTTCACCATGCTTTTATAAAGTTGAAAACCACGATCTGGGTTCTTTCGAGCACATTGGGCTTTAATTAGGGCAAAAAATGTTGAAGAATTTGGTACTAATTTCTTTTTATCAAGTTCTTTAACCAAATAAGCAGCTTTCTTGGTTTTTCCTTCGTTACAAAGTCCCAACAACAATGCGTTATAAGTCAAAATATCAGGTTTGACCCCGGTTCTTATCATTTCTTCAAAAATCTGATTACCCTTTTCGATTTAACCTGCTTGGGAACATGCAGTGATTAATGTGTTGTAAGTTACAATATTAGGATTCACATTTTCCCTTTTCATTTCATGGAAATCTTTAAAAGCATCATGTAGTTTCCCTTCTTTACAGAATCCATGGATTATTGTGTTGTAAGTTATGGCATTTGGGCTGATTCCATTCTTCTCCATTGTAATTTTCAAATTGATTGCGGTTGTTAAAAGGCCTTGGTTGATGTATGCAGTGATCAATGTATTGTAGGAGGAGACAACAGGGTTGATTCCCATTCCTTGAATTTCATCGAACACTTGGATTGCATTCTCTAGTTTCCCTAATTGAACATAAGCATTCATCACCATGTTGAGAGTGAACACATTCATTGTGATCATGGATCTTCACATTTGGTTGTAAAATGGTAACGTGATGTCTACTCGATTGATACTAAGCAGTGAACTCATATACATGTTACATGATTCAATGGTGGGAAGAAATCTGTATTCCTTCATACGACAAAATGTATCTGTTGCATTCCTGAACTGCTTCATCTGAGCATAAATTTTGAAAAGGGCATCGAAAACACGAGGAGTGGAATCACACATTCGATAAGAGTGAAGAACAGCATCGAAGAGCTTAGAATGGAGCTTTACATCACAAGAACAATAACCGATGATCTTCTTTAAAATGGATTCAACTAACACAAATTAACGATTCTTGGTGAGGATGTGGAGGACGATGGAATTTGTTTCGAGGGTGAGTAAACTAGGGTTGTGAAGTTCAATCCATTTGAATAATTTTAAGGAAATGACGTAGTCATTTTGAAGCTTTAACCGAATGCGCTTCACTCCTAATGAATTAGATTTTGTTAATAATTTATCTAGCTTAGCCCAATCAGAGTGAAGAAGATGATTGTGAGCTATGTTGATGTAATCAAGATCTTGACCTTTGGGTTCAAAGATAGTTCTATGGGGTATTGGAATAGGACTCCATTTACTTCTAAGGAGAGTAGAATTAGGGTTTTTCATGGCTGAATCAAGCAGAGTTGAAATGGGATTTTAATTTATATATTTTTAATGGAAAAAAACGGAGAAATAAAATATATGAAATAATAATTATCTTGAACCTACAAAACTTAAGACAACCTCTTTACAAGCAATGGCTGTCATCATCATGTGGGACCCAACAAGAGAGTGGACAAAGTTAGGAGGAAAAGTTGTTCTTTGTCTTTTCACCATCACGTTTTATAACAAAAAAAAAAGTTATTTTTCTTGCATTTAGCATAATAAAGAAAAGGTTGCAGATATAACCTTATCGGTTTCTCGTTGTAGTGTCAAAACTTGAAGAGATGTCTTAATCTACACATTTCAAAAAAACAACAAAAAAGTTTTGGTTCATATTAGCAAAAAAGCCAAAATACAGGGACCTTACTTGACAATTTGATATACTAAAAGAAATCACAAGATGTCTTCCTAATTTGCGGTATGGTTGAACAACGGGAAGTCCAAAAGGAGTTGTCCATTGTAGTGGATTGTTTTTCACTGCTATAACCTGTTAAAATTTATAAAATCAATAAACGTATTAATCTTATCTTATAAAAATATAAAATTTATACCTTTGCACAATCACCAAGCCAACTCATAATACTTCTTGGAGATTCAAACGTTGCTAAAAGAAGACACACCATAAAGGGATTGAGTTTCCTTCACCATTAAGCCACATATGAAACCTTAAAGGACTGTTTTGAAGACCTTTTGGAGGGTTCAAAACATGGTCTTTTTGTAGAAAAACATCACACAAGAATCTATGAGAATTGGAGCAAAAGAAATCATGAACGAAGATACCGAAGAGAAAATAGAAAGACAATTATTCTATAATTCTAACCAATCCTTACTCACCAATTACCACATATATGAGAGTGTTCTTAACTATATTTTGACAGCCATCACCCATCAAAAACACACAAAACGTGGCCGGGGATTAATCACATAACATATCAAGGATTGGAAGTAAGAAGAATGAGATTCCTTGAATCCAATCACTAGCAATTGACACATGAAATCAAAAGACGAGTTAAAGAAAGGAACTACCGGATGGTATGAATCGATTTCGCATCCTCAACACACCATCAATAATCGACACTTATAGACCCCTCTTTCCCCCCTCTCTTCTCAGTTCGTTCTTCCCTTCTCCACCCTACCTCGCCTTTTTTTTCCTATGCTGCTGTCGAGCGATGCAAAGGATCGGTTTTGAGGTTACTCCATTAATCCGTGCGTAAAGGCTAGAACAGTCGCAAAAAAACTTTTGGAGGTATCTTCACAAATTAAGTTTCTTGTAATGCCAATTTGGTCCTAGGCTTTGAACTTTTTCTTGTTGGTGGGTTATGGGCGAATTTTTAAGGATTAGTCCCTAGACATTGAACTTTATCCTATCTTTCCTAACCTTAGATACCTTCACCAATTAAGTTTTTTATAATGCCAATTTAGCCCCCTTCATTACTACACAAATTATATACTATTGTTTTATATTTAGGGGTGCTCAATTTGACAATAAAAATAATGTTGACAGAAAACCTATTATAGTCTTCTGACCTATAATAAGAGAATAAAAAAATTACTCGTATTTTGAAATTATAAAAAATAGGAAAGTATAAATGATTAAAAATAATCTACTTATTTTTTTAAAAAAATATTTTTTATGGTTTATGCTTTTGAAATTATTTTCTAAGTTAATAAAAATGATAGTCAGTTTTTCAAAAATCATATAAATTAATAGTAGCCATTATTGTGAATATCGATTTTTATATGTACATTATATTTATACTTCAATTTCAATTTATATAACGCTTTAAGTTTTTTATTCTTAGACATTAGTCATTTAGATAAAAGCGCTGATAACTAATAGTTATTATTGTGCATTTGTATTAAGTTGTATGTTGAAATCAGTTGAATGAAAAGTCGATAACACATTACAAAAGAAAAACTTATCACTAACCAGCTAAAAAGATATATAAAGGATAGATAAAGAGTGATTTGTATATAACTATTTACGTTTTAAATATTTGTATTGCACAACTTAATAAAACATAAATAGTTTGTCTATAAGGAAAAGTTACCGTGTAAAGATCTCTACCCATCGATAGATATCATTTATTTTTATAAAGCTTAAATTGACTATTTTAATGAAATTAACAAAGGTGTTCCACAAAATATTTAACTTATTATTTTTTTTTTTCTTTGACAAAAAAATAATTCAAAATGAGAAGTAATTAAGATGCTATATCTTTTATCTATTAATAAAGTCTAATCTTATTATTTATTTATCATAATCAATCCAAACATCAACAAAGATTTCATTGATGTTTCAAAAAAAATATCAAAGATATTTTAATATTTAATTTCTAAGCCAACATTTCCTCTAAATAAATAAAATGAAAGGATAAATGGAAGTCCATCGACCCAAACAAAATAAAATACGTAATTTTATATAGTTAGAAACATTGATCAAATTAAATTACATTCAATTTTCCTATGAACCAAATGCATGAAAGATTACAAAATTGAAGTTACTAATTCTTTAACTATCAATATCCTCAACAGCTAAGAACTCTCAAGTCTCAAATAATCAACTAATATAATTTTTAAACCTCCTCACAATAACACATATAAATAAAAGAACACATATGTGTTCAAAATAGGGTGTGATCTAAATAAAACAACACATATACTTTATACATCAAGATTATACAAGTAATAACTACCATTTTCGATAAAACTAATAATTTAATGTGAAATAAAATTAAAATTTGCAAAATATTATTATCTTTAATATATAGAGTACAAATCTATCAAGACCAAGAAAACTACAACCATGATTGCACAACCTTCACGACCCATTCCTCTTTCGTATCTAAAACAGACGTAACCATAAATAGCATTGTACTTTGTGTATATGGTAGAATATAAACATAAACTTTTGAAAATAAAATAATAAAAAAGTCAATTGCTACTTACACAATCTTTATTTCTGCTACTTCAAAACTATTTATGGGGGTTAAGCTTAGCAAGCTATATAGATTGGAGTGATTACTTTAAGGATCATGGCCACATAGTAGTTTTATGTGACATCCCCAATTTCACGGCCAGAAAAGACCGATTTGTTTATGCTTTGTTTTAAAATGAAAGTAATCTTTTAAAGAAAACAATTGCGAAATTTGTCCCAAAAACAAAATATGATAACCATTTAGCAAAACATTTCTCAAAGAGAATGTATTTTCATTAAATTATAAAACCTCGGGATGTCATCTTACGATACAGACCAAAAGCATAAACAGCATAACACAGACCTTACAACAGTTATTTATATAACTATTGGTCTATAATCCAAAATCTCTCGTCAAGTCATCTGACTTATACTCTTGTTTCATTACCTGTAATACAAAGAAAATTGAGTGGGCCAAGCTTGGGAGCCTGGTGAGCATAGAGAGTTTTCAACCCACAATAATATAGTTATTACATTTAATCATCAAACAATCAAACCAATTACCCATCCCCATTATCTTCTTTATTTCTTAAGGATCTACCCTAAGAATCAATCATCCTTTATTTGTTCATTCCTAAGGATTATCTTAAGGAATTGGCACAAAGTCCGTTGCTGCCCAAGGTTCATCTATATAGTACTAAATCCATAGCTACCAAGGTTCATCCATACGGTACTAAATCCATAGCTACCAAGGTTCATCCATATGGTACTAAATCCATAGCTAGCAAGGTTCATCTATACGGTACTAAATCCATAGCTACAAGGGTTTATCTAACGGGCACGAAGTTCCATCGTCACCAGGGTTTATCTAACAGGCACGGAGTTCCATCGTCACCAGGGTTATCTAACAGGCACGAAGTTCCATCGTCACCATGGTTTATCTAACAGGTACGAAGTTCCATCGTCATCAGGGTTTATCTAACAGGCACGAAGTTCTATCGTCACGAGGGTTTATCTAACAGGCACGAAGTTCCATCGTCACTAGGGTTTATCTAATAGGCACGAAATACCATCGTCACCAGCTATTTCATCTACCCATGTTCTACCTAACATATTTGTAGATAGAAAATATATATACAATTTTAAATCATTTAAAAACTTGTATGAAACATTCATTCAACATCCGTCTCAAGTAAACAAACAATATATAAACACATAGCACGTATTTCGTAGCAAATACATCATATCTATGTGTAAGGTGAAAGTAACTACACACTCACTTGATCAGAAGATGATCGGACAAAATTACGACTTGTAGAAGTAGTATTCTTCGGTAGATCTGGAAGATCTTCACAAAAATCGGGCTTCTCGCGGGCAGAGTTTCGGCTCGGGAAACTTTACTTCTCAGGATCTTCGAGGCTTCGGGACTTGCTTCGGGTCTCGCGATTGAACCGGGGCTTCGGGGTATAATTTTCGCGCAAAACGAGGCAACACGGAGGAGAGGAAAGGAAATGAGCAACAAAATTCGGAGGCTTTGCCTTCCTTTTATAGGTCTGGGAAGATGCCCCGAACACAGGGCGCTCCATAGGGGAATGCAGGGCGTTCCCACAAACGTCACTGCTTACGAACTTCAGATTTGACCACTGACACTGTGCCCCGAACGCGGTGCATTCCTTGAACGAACGCATGGTGTTCCCCTCCAGCTTAGCCTCGAAGTTCATGCCCAATCTTTGAACTTTCGTAACTTTCACGTACGATATCCGTTTTCGATGTTCTTTATATCCACGCGTAGGCGAGATTATGCTCTACAACTTTCATTTAGAATCCATCGGCTAATTTTGACTTTAAATTTTATTATATTATTTTTAGTAGGCCAGGACAGGAAAACTCCGTTAGAAATTCATAACTCCTTCATTTTCGTCTGTCTTTCTTCCGCTGCGCTACTATCGATGAGATCTTAGATTCTCTTTTATATTGTTTTGGCTAAAACTCGCTCGATCTCAAATTCGAGTTTCGGGCTGTCTACTATTATGTCGAAGTTTCGAAAAATCATAACTTCCTCATACGAAGTCAAATTTGGACGTTCTTTTTATGCACGCTCTCGGTTTAACGTATTCTACGACTTTCATTGAGATCACTAAGGCTAAATATCACTCCATCGTAAATTCACTATTTACGTCCCGCTGTGTCGTACCGGTTCTGTCGCGAAACTTCGACAGGTCATAACTTCTTCGTTATAACTCGGATTTCGGCATTCGTTATATATCCGGAATCCTTGTCACGACCACTACAACTTATTTAAGATTATTCATTCTAAATAATCTTCTATCAAAAATTCATTTTTGATGCTCATCGTCTCTAAATTGACTAGCCCTGATCTACGGGCGTTACAATTATCTCCCCCTTAGGATGATTACGTCCCGGAATCATCAACGAATAGGGCTTGCATATATTCCATACGTTATCTCTCCATCCTAAGTAATAACCTTGATGCTAAATCTTGCATCTGCTCTTCGTACTATGTTGGACTTTCAATCGTAACCTTCGAGTTACAAAAGAAATTCTTATTGAGGACTCCTTCTTCTTCTTAGGATAAGTACTTTCCCTTATCTATTGTAACAGACCGATGGGTCATGTTCTAATGACCTCTCATCGTATGAT